CAAGAAGGGGCCACTGTGTTGCGCTAAGGAGTGTGGCCCAAGCCCTTGCCAGATATGGTTGGCGCTGTCATCGCGAGCGATTCACCGGGTGAGCCGTTCTTTCGAATGACAGCGAACCCGGCAGCAGACAGCCCGGATGTGCTGGAGCCATGTTCCACGCTGGCCAACATCAATGCACACGAGACAGATACAAGACTTCGCTTCCAGACCGAGGGACACGCGTATTACTTCGATGGCGAGAAGATCGACACAAGTGCCAGACCCTCATTCGATTAGCGTTATGTGCTGTCTGTCTTCTAAGCTTGGAAGTTCTTCTGTCTAGGTCACTTCGTTGATCCACAAATATGGCGCAGAGTTCGACGCATGGCAGGCTGTGCAAAATATGAAGGCGGGTAAGAACTGGCCCCGGTTGGAATATGCTGTTTCAGACATTCAAGTAAATGTCATCCTGCTGAAACTGGTCGATGCGCCTGGCAGTGCCCGTGACAGACTGACCGAAGTTCTCCAGCACGAGCCCTTGGATATTGAAAGTCTTTGTGCTGAGCTTGCCCGATGTCGTGAAGAGCTTTCAAGCTGGGATGACATTGCGCAGGAAATCATGCTTCATGATAACGAGATCGTGGATCTCTGGAAGAAGAAGTCATTTCATGCGTGCAACGCAGGGACATGGATGCATTCTATGCTTGAGCACATGATGAACGGCTCCGACGTATTCCCTGGAACTATGACGCAAGAGCTGAACTTGGCTGTAGACTTTCTCCGTGAACTGCACGACGAGATGCCTGGACTGGTCGCCTACAGATCAGAGTGGACGATTTATGCTGGTCGTGAGAATCTGGCAGGATCGATAGATTTGGTTTTGTTCGACACGAGCGACGAGAGATTCGTGCTGATAGACTGGAAGCGCAGCGAGAAATTACAACACAAATATAACAGCTATGGCAAGTTCATGATGGAACCGCTGCAAGACATTCCTGACTGCCAGGGCGAACATTACAGATTGCAGCTTAACATCTACAAGTGGATTCTTGAACACTATTACTCCAAGAAGGTGAAGAGTATGAAAGTTGTATGTGCATACCCGAATTCATGCAATGAGGCTTTCGTGGATGATGTGCCCGACTTGACAAGTGTCGTCGACCGGCTAATGAAACACCGTCGTGCTGAAGTACAAGCCAAGAGGACACCGTGCGACTTTTCACAAATGCCCGACACGGCTGATCTGGCTGGAGAAGAGGGTGTCGATGCTGCCATGGACCCGGCAGCTGAACTCATTGGGCCGGCAAGCCTGCAAGCATTGCCTGAGACAGCGATAGCTGTTGTGCAGGACACTCTGCTGGCGCTGGAAGAAGAAGCTCAAAACGTGGAAGAAGGCTTTCCAATGTTCATGCAGAGAAGGCGTGAGATAAAGGGCGCCAGCGACAGTGCACGGTTGTTTCAGGACATGTTTTCAGCCAACGACAGTCTTCTTCAATCAACCCTCGACCAAGAGCCAGCAGATGCCTTACAAGCGCCTGAAAGTATTCTGCAAAATACAAGACGCGGCGTAGAACAAATCACTGAGCTACATCCCACCTGGTCATCTGAGTTGCTGCGCCTGTCACTTGTTGCCGGCTACCTCTGCCAAGCCCGCATAGGTGACAGACCGATGTTGGCAGACTGCGCAGGACTTCTGTGGATGATGGAGGGCGAGAGACATATTCGAGTCCACAGCGGTTTCTGCTACGTCTACGACGAGGAAGGTACCTTTCTCCCGTTCGGTGGAGTTCCGCCTGAGACCGTTCTGAGAAGGGTGCACGCATTTTGC